CGTTCTGTGTCCTAACCTGTGAGACATTCAACAAGTGAAGATTCAAGTTGGGAATCGTGATGAACTTGAGGTTCCATAGCTAGCGGTCTTAACTATAAAATTCTTTCATTTTAACTTCACGTAGTATCCATTCTGTGTTCTAACCTGAGGCCAGCTGTGTGCACTCAAAAGCACTAAGCCATTCTATATCTAGGTTAGAAATCCAGCTGCTTGTCCTCTTAGCTATCCGGGCAGTAACACTCTGACCAAAAAAGAAAAACTGAATGGGACAAAAGAAAAGCCTTAGCTCAGTATAAAATGGAGTTTTGATTTGGGTCTGAAATCACCCTATTCGGATAGACCAGAACCTCACTTTTTTCCAAGGTTCACCTCCACAGGTCATGAGACTTGAGTGGGGGTAGGGCTGGGAAGAGGGGCACAGAGGACACGGGGGTGCAGATCCCATGGTCATCCAGGTTGTAGTGACAGGTCCACACAGGTGTCACAACAAACTGGGTGCTTGACATGGACCCAGTTTATTTCTGTCCCACTTGAACCTAAAGAAAACTTGTAAGAAAGTCATTACTGAGTCACTTCTGACTCATGGTGACACCTCACAGGGTTTTCAGTGGCAGAGTCTCTGGACAGGCTCAAACCTCCAACCTTTTGGTTAGCAGCCTAGCACCTAAGCATTTGCACCACCCAGGAGCTCCTGAGAAGGGGAGTGGCGTCAGCCTACTGAGTAGCCTGGACGCTGTGGGTGTTAACTTAAAGCAGTGTCAGTCCATCCCTCCTTTCAGCTGTGCCCGACTGAATTCCCTAAAGCCTTACAGGCAGAAGCCGGGCTGGGCCAGGCTGCACAGGTCCCAAAGTCAAGCCTGGTCCAGACTTCAAGAAACTTGGTGAAGGACATGAAAAGAGGCCACTAACCTGGGGAGATAGAGCCAGGGGCATTGTCAGATGACCCAGTAAGCAAGGTAAACACAGGCTTATCTGCTTACTTACTGATGTGTAGTGAATAGTTTGACATGTTGTCACCACATCAGAGACTCGGCTTCTAGGGGTGGCTGGCATGTGGAGCTCTTCCAGCTCCACGGCCCCTTCCTACAGAGTCGGAACCTCTTTTCATTCACAGATGGGGTTAAACCCATGGGAAACCTCACTGCAGGTTAGCGAGTCAACACAAGCAAGCCTGTGCTTACCTTGTGTCCTGGGTAGTTGGCCCCTGGTTGGGAAGCAGCTTTCAGTGTTACCTGGAGGCTGTCTTCACGGTGGCATCTTCACAGCGGCATCTTCACAGTGACACGAAGGACGTTTCATTTGCTCTCCACTGGTGTCATCTTAGCAGATGTTTTGTGAAAAGTATTCATCAGGAAAAAAGGGAAAGCAGAAGCCATTTCCTTACTCCGAGTTCGGTTGTTGGAACAGCCTACGCAATTCACTGTGTTTTCGTCACGTTGTTGCCATCGAGTTGGATCCGACTCATTGCGACCCCTCCTTCGGTTTCCAAGGCAGTATCACTACGGAAGTAAACTGCCCAACCTTCCTTCTGAGGAGCGGCTGGTGAGTTTGAACTGCCAGTCTTCTGGTTAGCAGTCAAGTGCCTTAGGCACTACGCTACCATACAAAGTAAGGAGTTCCGATGGTGTAGTGGGTGAAGGCATTTGTAAGCAGAAAGGTTGTAGGTTGGAACCCACCAGCCCCTTTGCGGAAGAAAGATGAGGCAGTCTGCTTCCTTAAAGATTTATAGCCTTGGAAACCTACTGGAGGTCCCTATGAGTCAGAATTGACTTGATGGCAGTGAGTTGTTTTCGATTTAGTGGATGAAGTAGTTTTTATCACAGTGAACAAAGCGAGTGTCAACAGTGAGTGATGAGTAAAGCAGTGCGGCTTGGCGAAGCCGGCATATGAGGAGCACATCATGGCTGCAGATGTCTGCTGATGACATCAGAGTCTACCTTGAATTTAGAGAATTTCAGTCCAGAATTCTCCACGTGCTTGTGGATCTGCTTGGACAGATTCCTTCCAGGAAACGTGTGATGTTCATCCCTCATTCCTGTGCCAGGCAGCCTGCTACTGGGAGGGGGCCTCTGGGACTGACACCTTTTGGGTTTTTCTCCTGAGATCGTGCTCTGTGCCCCTCAGTCTCCTTTCTGGGAGATTTCCCCATTGCCTTTGGCCAGTCTTGTTTGTAAAATTTAAAGTCCTGCCACCATGTGTCTAGTTTTGGGAAGCTAGGGCTTTTTGGCATGTTCCTCCCAGTTTCACAGAAACATGCTGGTCTCCTGAAAGACTGCTGCAGCCACACCTGGCATGGGCCTTCCTCCACATGTGCCCGTTCTCCATCCCTCTTCTCTGTTTCATCTTCCAACACCTGCCCGTGGGTGCTCGTTCACATCCAAGAGTGAGAACAGCAGCTGGGCCCACGGGGCTGTGACCAAGGTGCCCCCGCCTGCATCTCAAGGAGATCTGGCAGCAACCCTGACTTTCTGTTGGGGCACCCCTGCATCTGGGTACCTTATACCTTTTTTCTCTGGGGCCAAGTGTTTCCTGAGAAGCTAACCTCCTCCCCCCGCCAGTGAGAACGGGCGTCTCCCCTTCAGCAGGGGCTGTGCTTGGTCCCGCATGGCCTGCCCGTGGTCTGCCCTCCCTCGCTGGGACTGGTGTCCCCACACGGCGCCTCCCTGGCTCCCCTCCCGCCTCTCGGTGACTCCGTGCGTGGCAGAACCACTGTGGACAGGTGCGGTACGTGGCTGGCAGCTTGCTCTGCATGCTCTGGGGGGTATTTCTTGAGAGAGCTCCTGGCCCACAGATTTATACTGAACGTTGAGGCTAAAACAGCAGGAGGGCAAAACACATTTGAAATAAACCTCTTGGCTTTACCAGGATTGTCATCTGTGATGAACACAGAGGAGCACTGGCACCTGGGTACAGGGAGGGACCTTAGGAAGGGTCACACGCTTTTCTGTCGTAAGTAACTTTTCTGATCTGACCGTATTGTCTTTCACATCCTGCCACCTAGGACAGCATGCCCCTTCGGAGCCTGAGGAAAAGGCGCAAAATGTCCAAGTAACATTCAGAAACCGTTTCTAAGGTAAGAGCATGATTCTTCAGGTGCACAGCCTGTTTCCTTCTTAGCAGCTCATGTCACCTTGTCCATTACTGAAAAAGCACCTATGCACAGGGTCTGATGCAGAAGCAGTACAGAAGGTTAGCAGTGACAGATCTTTCCTGTCACCTGTTTGTTTCTGGTTTGCAAACCACGTCTCCCAAAATGGGGAGGATAGCTTTGGAAGAGGATTCCGTGATAAGCTGTCGGCCGGTATTCCAGAGAAGGGAGCGCAGGAGCTGTAACTCACATGTAGACGTAATGGGAAGTTTGTGTTTGTGTGGTTGACCCTAAGTAACAGAGACCGGGGGTGCTGTAGTGTTGTGGGAGACGGGCTTTGTGGAGCATGGTGATAAGGAGCTTAGGTTCGGGTGTGCACACGAACTCCCAAGAAGCCCATCATTGGAGGACAGCTACGACGGTATGGCATCTGTCTCACAGTCACTGAGCGCGGAGCGCTTCCCAGCTGCTCTCAGAAATGATCCTCAAGAGCCTGTGTCGAGGGCGACTTCGGTATTTAGCCGAGTCTAGCACCACACCCTCTCTCCTGACGCAGTACCCTCGTTAGTTTGCATCTCGACTTGCGGTACCATTTGCTCTCCTGTGCCCAGTTGTCTGGACTGGGTCCAGCGTGCAGGAATTGTTTCTTCACTTCCTCCCCTCCCTTCCTGTTGCATTAGTGAAGCATCGATGTGGTGAGTCAGCAGGATGCAGGGTGCTAAGTACAGACCAGAGGCCCTCCCGCCTCACCTTGCCCTGCTCTTTCTTGAAAGCAATGACCTTGGCACAGCTTACTGTTCCCATCAACTTCTCTCGTACATCTGGCTCTAGGCTCCTGATGAGGTAACGGCATCCTAATGCCAGCCAGGATGGCCCTCCACCGTCAGCATCTGGTGTCTCAGTGGTAGCCCGTCCCACCAGCTGCCCCTGCTCCCTGTCCCCCCACGAAAGGCAAACCATCTCAGGGCTGTACCTGGTCTCGTTGCCAGTTCTCACTGGTACTTGAAAGGAGGCATTGGCCATGTGTGCCCTTGGAAGATTTGTGTGGTCACTTTCTGAGTAGAGCTCACATTACTCAAACTTTGTGTCTGAAAAGGAGCAGTCTGTCCCTGGGCCTGTGGTTTTGCAGCCGTGGTGTCACTCTACCTAGGCAGCCGGCACCTTGCCCTCCGTGAGGAGTAGCCTCCGTGAGGAGTAGCCGTAAAGCAAGGTGATCCTGGTCAGGGCAAGTTTGCAGCATAAGGTCATCACTACACAGCGTAGACATAATGGAGGGCTTGCTCGCATGGTCAGCCCTCACCTCGCGGAGGCCTGTGGCACTGCAGTTAGCGTTCCAGGAAGACAGGCTTTATTTTGCGTGACACTGAGGAGCCAGGGCTGTTTACCTGCAAACGGGGCCAAGAAATCCACCTGTCCCTCATCCTTGCAGCCTGTGGTGGTTCTTGTCTGCCAAGCATTCTGCTTCAGTTGGAAGTGGAACTGCTGACTGGTGCTTGGACAGAGATCAGGCCGTGGGGGTCTTGGTGAAGTGGGTGGAAACAGGATACCATGAGGCCCACCTCCACCGCTGCTGGACAGGGCTGGGTGTTGTAGTTTTGCATCTACAATGTTCTTTTCATGACCCTTGTTCACAGGTGGCTGTGAGCAGCCTGGGTGACGGTTTGGTAGGCAGAGGCCTAACGTGCTATGGGATTTATGATGTTGTAACACAGTAAGGTAAAGAGTTAAAAACACAGATCTTAACTAGTTAAATCGTTAGGTTCTTTTCTGATACGTGTGTTTAGATTATCAAGTGGCCAAGAGCAATTCGTGGCCCATCACGTATGAGTGGCACGTGGGCATGCGTGTAGGTGTGTGTCTCCCGGGAAGCTGACTGCCCCTTGTGCTCCCCCCGCAGGCGTGGCAGGGAACCATGCAGTCATCAGGACACAGGCTCCGAGATGTCGAGCACCATCCTCTCCTCACCGAAAATGACAGTTACGACTCCTCATCCTCATCATCCTCTGAGGCCGACTCCACAGACAGGGTGTGGTTCATCCGGGACGGCTGTGGCGTGGTCTGCGCTATCCTGACCTGGCTCCTGGTCGTCTACGCCGACTTTGTGGTGACATTTGTCATGCTGCTGCCTTCCAAAGACTTCTGGTACTCTGTGATCAACGGGGTCATTTTTAACTGTCTGGCCGTCCTCGCCCTGTCATCTCACCTGAGAACCATGCTCACCGACCCTGTGAGTAGGTGTGCTGTCTGTGGATGGTTCGGTTCGGTCTGCTTATACAGCCCCGGGTTTCTCTCGGCTCCTGGGCACAGGCAGCCACTGTTGTCTGCTTCCTGACTGAAGAGTGAACACAGCTTAGATAGAAGTGATGCTCTGGCCTATTTGTGGAACTCTTGTCCTTCATCAGGCTGTCGTCCAGTCCGATGAAGCGATCGTACTAGATAACCTCTAAAATCCCTGCTAGTTTAAATATTTTGTTTCTCTAAAGCAGGAACTAAAAGCTGGGACACCTGAGTTTAGATCTCGCCACTTCACTATTGGTTGTCTTTTGACTGTAGCAATCAATTCAGCCTCTTTGGGCCAAAGGTTAGACATCATCTCTAAGTCTCCTTTTTGGCTCTGTAATTCTGTCTGTCCCTATTTCATACTGGTTTGTGCTCCAGTGAAAGTTTACACAGCAAATTGGATTCCCATTCAACATTCCATACACAGATTGTCGTGGGACACTGGTTACAGTCCCTGCACCCTCACCATTTCCCCCACCAGTTTCCCTGCCCCACCTTGCCTTCTCATCTTTGCTTTTGGGTCATTGTTGACCATTTGTTCTCATGTAGCTCTAAGGAGCACATTCCTCATGGGTGTTCCTGTTGATCTTACAGGCTAGTCTGCCATTTGGCTGAAAGGTGGCCTCTGGGTAACTCTCTTATCTCAATGTCTCAGCACGTCTCTTCAGCCAGCTGGTGAAAGGTGGAAGCTGGCAGTAAGGAAGGACAGGCTGCTGAGTGCGTGGGAAGCTGCTCATGTGGCTGTTACTCCGGAGACTGCAGAGCAGAGCCCGCTTGGTGCCCAGGGCAGATGTCCTGGGCTGTGGAAACGAGCCTAGGGCCGTCTTCTAGAGCCATTTCCCCTTAGACCAAGCGTAGAGATAGGCCGGCCCTGACTCAGCAGATGTTCCTGATGTTCCATGACTGGAAGACCACCCGACTCGGCACCCCCACTTTGGGTCTAAAGCTGCATCCCCGAGTGTTGAGAGGTGCCCAGTTCAGGGAGGGTCATTACAGTGCTGCACACTGGGTTCAGAAAGACCCTTCCAGATAGTGGTTTCTGGCTGACCCCGGAGCTCTGAGGAGACGCCAGGGCTGCCTGGCCCAGGATGGCCTGCAGGTGGAGTGGGAGAAGGCCTCAGAGTGGGGGCGGGGGTTGTTCTGCGGGCACACAGCCAGGCATAGCGGTCTACAGGGGCTCCATCTGGAAGAGGTCTGTCTTTCACCTTCATCATCCGTGAGTGTAAGCCTGTGGGGCTCATGTTTGTTTACAAGCAGCCTCTAAAGAGGGCAACAAGCTGCTAATGCTTTGTTGTGTGATTGTTTTTCTACTGCTCAGTGGCAGATGTGGCAGGCCTGCTGACTTCACACACTTTGGCAGGGGCCATCTATTGGAGCCGTTTCCCCTTGGACCAAGAATAGAGCTAGGCCAGCCCTGACACATCAGACAGCCCTGGTGTTCTAATGTTTTGAAGACTGCCTGACTCAGAGCTAGGTCAGGTCTACAGCTCAGGAAGTGTTGAGAAGTGTCAGGAAGCTCCTGAGTTCATCATACAGATCTGGCCATATCTCCCCTTCCTCTTGGTCTGCTGGGTAGAGGTCCCAGATGGCCTGATCCCTGGGAGTAGGACAGTTGTAGACCCAGCCCAGTGAGCAGCTGGGAGCACTACACTGGGGACAAACATGATGCTGTCAGCCAGGGGTTCTGTAGCTGCAGTCTGACTGTGCAGCCTCCTCTCTGGCCGGTTTGGCCTTCCCACACTCCACTTCTCCCTTCCTTCATCACAAGGCAAGGTAAAGCAAGAGCGCCCCTCCAGACCCAAACGTAACACGGTCAGGTACTTCCAGCACCAAGAGTAGCACTCCTGGGACAGAGAGGGTACTGCTGGAGCTCTTGATGGGAGGTCACTGCAGGAAAGCCCTGTCCCATCCACATTAGCCTGGGTGTTGACATCTTGGTGGGATCCGACCTTTGTGGGTGGTGTTTGTACCCATGGGGTGGTGCCCACCTTCCTGGGAGGTGGTGCGTGAGGAATGTGGGGGTGGAGGGTCCTTCACCAAAGGACGCAACAAGCCCACAATGGAAAGATGAGACTTCTAGCAATCTTCACATTAAAAACACAATCGAGACCTTGTACTTGTGAAGGGCCCTGAATAGTAGGAGAAGGGAGCCCACAGTTGTCTCCAGAGCCTGCTGTCTTGGGTTCCCAATCAGTCTTCTCAGCAGGTGTCTGCCCAGGGCCTTAGGAAGGTATCCCCTGTGGGGCTGCCAGGCCTGCTGCGGTGCTTTGCCAAACGGAGGGTTCCATGTCCCCTTCCCATGGCTCTGAGAGGCAGGTGGTTTGTCCAGATGAGCAGGAGCCTCGGGAGAGGGTCAGACACCTCCCAGGCCTCAGAGCTGCTCAGTGGCAGTGTGGGGACTGGCCCTGGCCTCTGTGCCTCCAGAGCCTCTGCTGCTCTGTAAGCTTCTTCCTAGAAATCTCAGACACACAAGTAGAAAAGGCAGTAGCATGACCCACAGTTACCAGCTCACGGCCAATCTAGGGTCACAGGCCCCTCACCACCCTCGCCCCAAAGATGATTTTGAAGTACATCTCAGACACTTTACCATGTGTTTGTAAATATTCTTCTGTGTTTTTAAAAGGTACAGACTCTTCCAAAAAAAAAAACACACTATTCAATCTTGTGTAGAACACCTTAGTGATTCCTTAATGGTATCTGGAGTCCCTTAGTGGTGAAGTGCTCAGCTGCCAACCTAAAGGCTGTTCAAATCCAGGCAGAGGCACCTCAGAAGAAAGGCCTGGACCTACTTCCAAACACTCGGCCATTGAACTCTGGGGGCTGCAGCTCTACCCTTACACACGTGAGACTGCCGGGAGTCAGAATCCACTGGGCGGCAGCTGGATTCCTTGGTGGTGGGAGTGGGGATGCTGTCCTCCTCACTTTGCCCCCAGACAGCTGCTGATACCGTCTCAGTGACGCTCTCCAGACACGGGCATTTCTGCACGTAGTACTGGTTCTGTGGGGATGAAGTGTGGAGGAGCTGGTTCCCTTCTTGAGACGTTAGGAATCTCTGTGCCATCCCAGTCTTCTGGTCAGACCCACTTGTCTGAGTCCCTCCTCATACAGCTCCCAGAACGATGGCCCCAACCCCTGGCTGCGCACTGTGCAGACCTGGCCTTTCACCAACCATTGTCCTCTGTCGACCACTGCTCTGTATCACTATCACCCAGCACAGAGGGACTGGCCGTGCCATTCTGCCTCGTCATCCCTTCCTGGCCTCCTGCGGCACCTTCCTATTGTGTTTTCCCGTCATTATCTCTCTTCCCTGTCACGTGGGGTTCTGGTTGCCTGTCACTGTCTATCTCCTGTCATGTGGGGTTCTGGTCCCTTCATTGTCTATCTCCTGTCACGTGGGGTTCTGGTTCCCTGTCACTATCTCCTGTCATGTGGGGTTCTGGTCCCCCATCACTGTCTCTCCAGCTCTTGCTGTGTGGGGTTCTGATCCTGTCACCGTCTCTCCATCACCCCTTGTGTGGAGTTCTGGTCCCCTCACTGTCTGTCTCCCATTGTGTGAAATCCTGGGCCCATCACCATCTTTCTAGCTTCCATTGTGTGGGGTTCTGATCTCCCCGTCACCATCTCTCCAGCTCCCATCATGGGGTTCTGGAGTTCCTTCCCTAGCTGACATTTTCCAAGAGTGTGTAAGTGTCCTTGGGTAGTTGGCAGATGGACAAATATGCTACATAACTTTAAGAACACAGGATAAAGTCCTTTTCAAGGTCACTTGTTCTCTGTTCTCCTGCTGCTGATGATATGGAAACTATCAGCACTTAGCCAGTAAACCCTCCCATAGAAACGAGTGACAGGGCAGACATGCAGGCACCTTCTCAAGTTGGAGCAGCCTAACAAATCGTGCTGCTGAAGCTGCCTGCATGAAGCTCGAGAAACTCAGCTGATTGATCAGTTTGCAAAGGATGATTAGGTACCTGGAGTTTACTTTAATACATTTTTAAATGGAGATCTGGTTCTACACGAGGAATAGTTATTTTTCATATTCCATGTACACTAAGTGGCAGTCACAGCACTGTAAATGATTTTACTTTATGACATTTTATGCTATTTATATATATGTGAGTATGCTATTTATACACATACACACACACACCCACATACTGCCATCTAGTCGACTGACTCACAGCTACGCCATCAGACAGGGAAGAACCGCCCCGTAGTTTCCATGGCTGTAATCTTTATGAAAGCAGACTGCCTAATCTTTCTCCCACCGAGCAGCTGGTAAGTACCAACCGCTGACCTGTCAGTTAACAGCTGAGTACTTAACCACTACACCACCTAACTCAGTGCCGCTGAGTCGGATCCGACTCATAGCGGCCCCTCCTTGGGCTTCCGAGGCAGTATCACTATGGAAGTAGATTGCCCAACCTTCCTTCTGAGGAGTGGTTGGTGAGTGTGAACCGCCAGCCTTCTGGTTAGCAGTTGAATGCCTTGGGCACTACGCCACCAGAGCTCCTACTATACCACAAGGGTTCCATTGATCAATGTCGGATATCGGATACACACACGCCTCTACTCCTCACTTACCGACTATCTCGTTATCCAACATTTTTCATTTAGGATCATAGTCAAAAACCTATCAGGTGATTTTGCACATTAAGATGTGCATCTGGCAGTAATGAACACGAGGGTACACGGCGAAGGTGACATTGGCTGTGATGGTAAACGTTAACTTGACAGGGCCATGATTCTCAGCGGTTTGCAGTTAAGTGATGACATGATTTGGCAGTTATGTGATGATGTGGACAGCCTTCATTTCTGCATAATGCTAGTTTTCCTAACAACCTGGTCTTTAGAACCTAGCCGTGTTGGTTAAGTGAGGAGTAGGTGTATGTGTGTATGTATGTATGTATGTGTGTGTGTGTGTGTGTGTGTGTGTGTGTGTGAATATAGTGTCTTAAAATAAACTCTGCCTGTTGTTTTTTTTCTTACCCTTGCCTTCTCCCCATCTAAACGCATTCTTATTAAACTGCAGGGAGCCGTCCCCAAAGGCAACGCTACGAAGGAGCACGTGGAGAGCCTGCAGCTGAAGCCAGGCGAGGTCATCTACAAGTGTCCCAAGTGCTGCTGCATCAAGCCCGAGCGCGCTCACCACTGCAGGTATGGCTGCTTGGGAGCTCGCACAGCACCGTGTTGTCCACGGGCTGCACAGCACAAGGGGCCCGGGCAGCACTGCCTGACTGCTCTGGGGCATGACCCTGGGCTCTGGGATGGTTGTAGGTACCCTCTCCTTGCAATCAGAGAGTTAAGTCCAGGGGCCGGTGCCAGCCAAGGAAGGCCACACACCTTGCCAGCAGTTTTCATATAGTGCAGATTTGGGGTCCCTTTCAGCCAGAGGAGAGTCACTGTGGGCCAGAGCTGATGGGGCAGCCACCTCTCTAGATGGCACGGGTGCCACAGGCTAGTGTCCGTGCCCTTGGCATGTACTAGGCATGCCCCATGAGAAGTCCAGTAGAAACGCCTGCCCTCCTTGCCCTCCACATGGCTGCTTGCCTTGCCCCTGTTCTCCCAGCCAGTTGAGTAGAGGGGTTTTTGTGTGGCCACTTCTGTCCTGGCTCATTGTGGCACTGCCGTGGCCATGCTGGGTTTTGGGGACATGCTTCTGGCAGTCAGTTGTTATTGTCTGTACGTGCAGATATACTTTATTATCTGGATCATGTATAGATACAGAGGTACTTAAGGGGCCCACACACAGTCCAGGATTTTCATTTCTCCTCTGAGAGTCTGGCTCTCCTCCTTTTAGGCTCTCCTTGCTGGTCTTACTGAATTTTGTTGGCCTTCCCGTAGCCCTGCCTGCCCCGACCCCCATGTTCTGTCTGCTCCCCAAGAAGCTGGGCAGTCAGTGGTTTATCTCAGAGACCGTAGCATGGGGCAGTCGGGTTGTTTAGCCCTTGCAGTCAAGGTCCTGTGTCCCAGAACAGAATCTTTCTCCTGGCTGGCAATGGAGGAGCTGAGCTGTGCTCGGGCCCTTTCTCGGGCTAAACGTCACTTGCCAAGATGAGCAAATGAGCATAGGCGAGAAGTTACTGGATGGAGAAGACAGACAGGGAGTTTCATCTAACTGATGACTGGGAAAACCCATTCCTTTCTTTTAACTTTTTATTGTGTTTTGAGTGAAAGTTTACAGAGCAAATTGGTTTTCCATTCAATAATTTTACACATTTGATTTGTGACATTGATTGCAATCCCCACAATGTAACAGCACTCTTCCCACTTCCTCCTTGGGTTTTCTGTTCCATTTGCCCATCTTTCCTGTCCCTTCCCACCTTCTGAGGTTTATCCCAGGGCAAATGCTGTCCTTTGATGTCGTATGGTTCATTGTTCTAAGGAGTGCATACCTCCCTGGTGTTCATCTTGTAGGCCTGACTATTGTTAGGCTGATAGTTGAGTCACGGCGGTGAGCTGAGTTGCAGGCCTGAAGGGTATCTTAGGGCCATAGTCTCAGGAGTTCTACCAGTCTCTCTTGGATCAGTAAGCCTGGTCATTTTTATGACTCTGAGTTTTGGTCCACGTTTTTCTCCCATTCTACCCAGAATCCCCTGTTGTGATCCCTTCCAGAGCACTCAGCAGTTGTAACCAGGTACTATCTGGGTCTCCTGGTGAAGGCTGGGGCTCACTTGGTTCATTAGTCCTTTGGACTGATTGTTTCCGTGCGTCTTTCATTTTCTTCATTCTCCTTTGGTCGGGAGGAGAAAAGAACAATAGCTGCACCTTAGATGGCCGATCACAAGCTTTTCAGACTCCAGTCGCAGCTCACCAAGGCAGAACGCAGAACACTGTTTTTGTGGACCGTTTTGTGCCAGCTGACCTTGGTGCTGGTCCTAAAGTCCCCAGGAGTAGGGACTCATTCCCTCAAGGTATTGGGTTATGGCTAAGATGTTTCTATAATGTTGCCCCCCATACACTCAGTTACATTCACAGATAGGCTGACGGCACACACGGAGACATACGTAGAAATATTCTCTTAGGAAAGGTTTTCTAAGATCCATTTCCACACTGTTTGGCCAAAAAGTTAAAAAAAAAAAAAAAATGACGAAAGAGAAAGAGAGGACATGAGCATGGGCTCTCCTCTGCCCCACCTCCCGCTTTCTTCGGTTGTCCTCCTCTGGTTTCCTCAGCGCCTGGGACGTTAACACCCAGACCTTTCCTTTTCAGTATTTGTAAGAGATGCATCCGCAAGATGGACCACCACTGCCCGTGGGTGAACAACTGTGTGGGAGAAAAGAACCAGAGGTTTTTTGTGCTCTTCACTGTGAGTACAAACGTTTGAAGTGACTTGTATCTAGTTGGGCATGCTCCTCAACACTGGCCTGGAGTAGGAGCACGTAGGCCAACATCAGACCGGGCTCCTGGCCTACCTCTTCCACAGGATGCAACTGTGACCCAGGGCTGTATTACCAGGAAGTGGTCTGGGAAACTACTGCTTGTATTGTCTTAGTGGCTGAGTGCTCCCTCTGGTGCACTCAAGCACCATAGTTAATAGGCTCTTCCCCTGGCATTGTGGAACTTACTTCTCTCCTGCCCTTGACATGGTTCGGCATGATCTTCAGGCAGATGTCATGACAGCTCTTCACTCATGACTGTTACTGACTAATGAGATGCTCCTGGAACTATACTCAGTTCCCCTAAAGTCACTGACCACTTATCCCCCTCGTTCTAGATGTACATAGCACTGTCTTCAGTCCACGCACTGATTCTCTGTGGATTTCAGTTCATTTCTTGTGTCCGAGGCCAGTGGACGGGTAAGTAAATGTTTTGTGTCATTCTAGACGGGCGTGTTTTTGAGGGAGAGGTTTATCGTAAAGCTTTAAAGGCAGAAGTGACTGGCCAGTTTTGAAGGAGATTGTTGCAGTTACTGCAGCAATTCATCGAATTACTTTGTTTCAGAAAAGCATATGGTTAAGCCACCATACACCTAGCCATTTTGCTAGCATAGTGAAGCCTTATAATGTTAAGTTCTTCCTTGTTAACCAGTTTTATGAATGATTTTTACTACCCATTGCCACCAAACGGATTTTAACTCAAAGCGACCCTATAGGAAAGAGTAGAAGTGCCCCATAGGGTTTCAAAGGCTGTAATCTTTCTGGAAGCAGACTGCCTCTTTCTTCTATGGAACAGCTGGTGTTTAGCAGCCATATCCCTTAACCGCTGCACCATGAGAGCGCCTTAAAATTTCTATCAAGTAATTTTATTTGGCTGGCACAGGACCAGGCAGTGTTTCATTCTGCTGCGCATAGGGTCGCTATGAGTCAGAGATGACTTGACTGTACCTCACAACAACAATCTTATTTCCGTTTTGTGGATTTTGAGGCTAGAGAGAAATCAGTACTATTCTCACCAGACCTTCCCTTTGAGTTCTGGTTAGTTAGCTAGCATTGCTCAGCAAACCCATGGCCTTACTCAACCTGAGGGAGCGCAGCAGGCGCTCACAGACGTGCAGATCCTCACACGGAGGGCAGGCTCCCACCTGCTTCCCATGCAAAGATCACGCACAGGTGTAGGTAAGTGTGTCGTTTCACGGTTTAGTTGTGTGTGTGCGATTTAATGTGCAGAAGTAGTGCCAACAGAAATCTCAGATGGGGAGCAGTGGGGTTTTAGACGGCTGGCTGGGAAACAGTGGTGTGAATCCTTTTCCAGAAGGACCGGCTGCCTCTGCCCCTGGTGAACTATGAAGGTGTCTGCCTGTAAAACAAGCACATTGTCCCACCTGAGCTGGAGGTCGGGCAGCCAGGGCCCGGGGTGGTGCCTCGCCAGAGTCACACCCGGGCTCTGAGGTTCGGGGTGTTGCTCGTGCTCTGATGCCCAGCTGCAACCCGCCTTCTCTGGTTCACAGAATGCAGCGACTTTTCACCACCAATAACGGTCATCCTCTTGATCTTCTTGTGCCTTGAGGGTCTCCTGTTTTTCACTTTCACTGCAGTGATGTTCGGCACGCAGATCCACTCGATATGCAACGATGAAACGGTACGCTCTCCTCTCTGCTGCCTGTTTAGTCAGAACCCGAGCGAGTGGGAAGTGCTCATGTCCTAACACGTGCCTGTGTCTCAGCTTACGTGATTCACTGAGCGGCCTCGATAAGCTCATTCCAGGTCACTGTGCTCCTTGTATTACGCACAGAGCATATTTTAAATATTGGCTTGATTTGAAAGTCAACAAAGCCAGACAAATAGAGCCAAGCAAATGCACAGTTTCTAGGAGACCAGCCCTGCAGTTGGTGGGTGAACGCAGGGATCAAGTACCTTCTTGCCCTTGATGGGCGGGTTTAGAGTAGATGCTCAGTAAATACTTCCACAGAGTAATAAATGGGTAGAAGCACTGGTGCCCAGGTATGGAGAACCAACTCCCTCCTGCTACCCTTGTGGCGGTCTGGGTTGTCACAGTAACTTGTGTCACACGTGGCACTTCTTGTCCCCATCCCTCTGTCTCTGCTGCGGGCCTGGTCATTAGCTGAGCCCTGGTTATGTTCCTGGACACCGTACAGAGTCTGGGCCTGTGGTGTGGCAAGAACTTGCCTTTCTGCTCCAGTTGTCAGCGACCTTCACACTTGTGTGACACGACAAGTGGAACACAGGCACCCCGCAGGTCCCAGAGGTACAAGGCCAGCCAGTTGCTGGAGTGTAACTGTATGGGATTCTCGCTTTGAGCTAACATCTGCTCACTGGGATATCGACCTTGGCACTTGCTTTCTCAGTCACCTTTTCCACTTTCTCCACGTAGTTATTTGGGTTTTAGAGGAAGGCTGATAAATAACACCGCTTCCTGTCCCAGTTTGCAACAAGTGTATTTCAAAGCCTCATCACAGGACTTGAGGGTCTGTGGAACTGGGTGTTCATGAACTGCTCTGGCTCTTTCATCCTGCTCTAGCCAAAGACAGAAGAACAGGCACTGTACTGCCTCTCTTTCTGCCCATGGTGTAGGCGCTGGGGAGCATGTCTAGTGGGAGGGGCTCAGGTCACATGGGAGCAGGGAAGCCCGTCTTTCTTGCTGTCTTGGTTTCTTGCACCCCCGGTTTATGAGTGCAATCAAAGTACACACGGTGTTTTTCACATAAAACATGCCCACACACATACAGTGCGTACTGGAATCTAACACATGAGGGGCTTGTGCAGTTTACAAGAGACTGTGTAACACATGACTTGGTAGAAATAAAAGTAGTAGGGTTTCTGAAAGACTCTTGCCTGAAGTACCATCCTTAGATGTTTCTTAGTTGAAGAGACACGACACAACACTGCATGTACAGAAAGAGCTTTCCAGCCCCAGCATGTGCTTACCTGTGCAACTACAAGGTCCCCTTTGTTGTAGGTGATCGTGCAGGGCTGTACTCATCACAGTCTCCAGGCAGGGTGACAGCTGTGGGTAAGAGCAGCAGTCACGTACACGTAGTGACCCCCTTTGCAGTCGACACTGTGACTGGCAGCCGGCTATCTGGGTAGGTGCCCTCAGCCACTGGCCTCTGTAGTACAGTTCCAGGCTCTCGTCCTTATCCCGGAAGGTGGTGTTTGGGCCGTGTCCCTGTAGGGCTCTCTCTCCTGGCAGCAGTACAGCTCATCTCTGGGCCTTCTCCTGGGCTGACGGAATCTGAACCTTGCGGGGTGACCCTGGCCCTAGTGTCTCCTCACAGTACATGTTGTAGGGTAGCCCTGACACGCTCTTGGCTGCGTGCCCCCCATCCCCACCAGTGGCACAGGTGCCCCCCGGCCTCTCAAGATTCCACGCTCCTCAGCTTAGCAGGTGGGTCCTGATTAAGTCCCTGGCAGGACCCCAGGCACGTGGCCTCACTGAGTCACAGCTGTGAGGGAACATCCTTGATACGGGGTGGGCTTCCTTCTTCTGTGGGTGGGAATGCGTCTTCCAATTATGAGCATAGCCATCCAGAGATGGACCAACTTGCAGGCAGCCTTGGTTACCTGCTGACGCATTTGCTTCCCACCTGTGTGGGTGGCATGTCTCAGGAAGACCATGGGCCTCTGTGGAAGGAGACTCCTGTTCAAATCAGTTGGCTGTCAAGTGCAGGGTGGTTCGTGGGACACACTGGGTTGCATGTCTTCACCCCAGTGCTGACAAACATGCCCTTTTTATTGAAGCCCATGGGACCAAGAGTTGGGTTAGGAAGGCTACAGCCAGATAAACCCCAGTGTTGGCTGTGAGCCCTCCCCAGGGAGCACTTTGCTGAGGGTAGTTTTTCCAGAAAGCCCCTCACACTTGTGCCTCAGGATGCTGCTAGGTGACTCTCCATAATACCTGACAAGAGGCTCCAGGCAGCCTGAGGGAAACCCAGGTCTCCTGCCAGCTGGGACGGTGAGCCATGTGCCCACCAAGCTCCTCCTGCGTTCCTGTCAGCCTGGCCTGCAGCAGGGGTCTTGGTCTGTCTTTCTGCCCAGGGAAGGGCACTGACCTAGCTGCTGGAGGCATGGAGCTCACACTGCCCTTGACCCTCCACGTGTTTGCTGCCTCGTCTGCCCCACCTGAGGGGGACCCACTCAAGGGTCCATCTTCCCACTGTGATTTTACAGCTGTCTTTTTAGGAGCATGCCTTCTCTAATTAGGAAGAGCTAGAACATTCCATCAAGCGGTACCCAGCATCAGAAAGGGCAGGAGTAACGAGTAGTTTCCATCCACTGAATCCTTGCTTTGTGCCTCGTCCTGGGGAGGTAGCTGCCAGCACTCACGCCGGGTGGATGCTGGAGCCAGGGATGGGCACCTGCCCTGCCACCTTCTCAGAGCCCACACTTTGCTTGAATGTCCGTCCTAAAACAACACAGGGTTCTGCAGTTAGGGGGTGGTGCCCCCACAGGACCCCTCGGCTAAGCCTCTGTCTGCTGGTGCTGTCAACCCCTTGCTTTTCTTTTGTCTCCAGGAGATCGAGAGACTAAAAAGCGAAAAGCCCACGTGGGAGCGGAGGCTCCGTTGGGAGGGAATGAAGTCTGTCTTCGGGGGTCCACCCTCACTCCTCTGGATGAATCCTTTCGTCGGGTTCCGGTTCAGGCGGCTGCAGACAAGAGCCAGGAGAGGGGGCCCCGAGTTCTCCATCTGAGGCCACCCGTCTGCTGGAACTCGCCCAGGTACTTTACTCCTTTGGCGTCGGAAAGAGCATCAGCTGCTCCTCTGTGACCAGCAGGGCAAACTGAACCTACACAAACCAGTTGCTAGCAGCAAGCGGAGTTTTATACATTTACAGTCACAGATGGCAGATTTTCTAAACCAAACCAACAACTGGAAGACGTGCTGACCAATTTCCACCCATATGACTGGTGCACGGGCCAGGGCCACAGCGAGAAGCCAGATGTCTCATCCTGCACAGGCAGGCTTTTTGTTCAGAGCACCGGCATTTTGAAGAAGCTGTTGGGGATGTTATGTGGGTTAGTTTCAGTCCTGCGAATGAGCTGCGTTTTTCAGTCATGAAGGAGAAATGCCCAGTGAAATCAAATGGCTGGACTGCTGCCCAGGGCACCCTCATCTGCCTGGGATCCTTGAGGGCTTCCTGGTCATACAGGGCCATTTACACAGAAACACGAGTGCCTGGACTACTGCCAGCAGTCCTGTCTACCCAGGATCCACGAGGGCTTCCCAGTCACACAGGGCCATTTATGCAGAAACCGATGCCCGGACTGCCACCCGGGGCACCCCTGTCTACCTGGAATCCATGAGGGCTTCCTGGTCACACAGGGCCGTTTATGGAGAAACATGTCTTTGTCTTGACCACTCAGACGTTCACTTTGCACTGAAGTTGTGAAAGATCTGTGTGCCCGGAGCAGCCCTGCGGGCTCTAGGTCCATGCCAGCTGCCCCCCAGGAGCAGTGTCCTTTGACCCTCCCAGCACAGCCTGTGTGCGCATGTACATGCACACACGTGTTCTGAAGCCGTGGCATCGCTGAGAGGATGATACACTGAGAGGCTGTGATCAGCAGATGAGCTGCGTTTTAGGAGCCTATGTTTCAGGAAAGCAGGCTGCAGTGCCTCCCACCGGTGGGCTTGCCAGGAACGTACCACAGCTGTAGGACAGCTCTACCCAAAGAACGCTCGCTGCCATGTGGTCCTGGGCTCCCTCCTGCTCTCACTTTATTTTCAAACCCTGGCTGCACGAGGGCCTTGGACTGGACTTCCCCCCCTCACATGAATGGCCCCCTCACTGAAGGCAGAGCGCCACCTCGCGGGGCCTGGTACTTTGTGCAGCTCCATGCTGTTGTCGGTGTGCAGGGAAGGGGGCATGCCAACAGTGAAACACCACAGGAAACAAGGTGTGTACCTTGTGGCACCTCTGGGAGCAGGAGGGGACCGTGAGGTCACCGCCCTGGAGCAGGGGCGACTTTGTGCCTTGATTGCAGGTGGTTGTGGAAGACAGGTGTGTGGGCACTGAGCCAAAGGAGAACACGCAGTGACAGCAGCCCGTCTGCTCTTGGCGTCATGGATGTGTGCTTTTTCTACCCACCTCCCAGGTGATCAAACAGGGGTCTTGACACGGCGCTGAAAATTCTACCAGAAAGCAGCACCCTGTCCCAGGGCTCGCCTTAACCCGGCCTGGTTTGTGCATTCTCTGCCAGATGCATCAGGAGGCAGTCATCGCAGAGCCCAGAGGTCTGCCTCCAAGTTCGCCTCCCACACTAAGAAGAGCTGGTGTTCCCCTCCCATTCCGTTGACATGTGGACTGTTTTTTTTTTAAATCCGTACCCCATCCTAATCAGGGCTTATACCACTATTGATGCTGAATCACCAAGGGGTCTGCTCGATTCACCATCGGTAGCCAAGGGAACAAAACCGTGTGATGATTTCGAAGGCTACAGATCTCTGCGGAAATGCGCGTGCTATTGGAACGGGCATCACGGCCCGGGACAAGAGCACCTGCTACAGGTGACCGGGAGGTCGTCTCGCCTCCCCATTTGCACATCTGTTGTCTGGGTTGGACACATGTATTGGGCTTCAGTGTGAGGCTTTTAATCTGTGTATCCTGTTTATCAATAAACAAATTAATGGATCCTGTGAGACTCGGCAAGTGTGTGCAAGTCAAGTTTACTTGCTTTTTCAGCCTTCTCTTCCAGTGTACCTTTCATATGAAATAAAGTAACCAGCTGACACATGTCAGAGAATCAGCAAAGTGGCAGAAGTTCTTCATGGCTGTCGGTGCGTCTTCTGGCAGCCAGCCCACCATTCCTTGAGACCACCCCCAGCTCCCTGCCGTCCTAGCCAGGCCTGTGCCATTTCCCTACCTCTAAGTACTTTAGGGCCCGTGACAAATGGCTCCAGTGTCCCCTCCGAACTCTGGGCTGTCAGGCACTCTCCTCCCACAGTCACTCAGCTGTGTCCTAAGGAACCATGCAGTCGTCTAGCTCACAGGGAAGAACACAACATGAAAAGAAAAACACTGCCATCCATCCAGTCTGTCCCTACAACTTGATTTCAGTCATGTCACACCTGCGTCTCCCGATTACACTCTGAGGGCCCCACAGGTGTGTGGAGAGGGGACTGAGAAGGAAAGATGGGCAAGTGGCCAGGCCTGCAGGGCAGGGACTCCCACGAGCTGCAAATGGAGCAGGCCTGGTGGGGGTCACCTGAGGACGCTGCCCAGCCCAGGTGGCAGCACAGGCTTGAAGGGGGCCCTGTGGGGCCCACCACCGCCACCACCATCTGTTGAGGGCCTGCTGTGTGCCAGTATTGAACCTGCCCAGCAACTGTGAGGTACATAGTGGGGTCTTAGTAACCCTACTATGTCCTGGCTGGAAACAGGACCCAAAACCCTGTCTGTCTGACTTGCAGGCCATTTTTTCAACTCCTGAGCCACACTACCCCTTGCTACAGTGATCAGGAAACTTCTGAAGATGCTGATGGGCCTGCAAAAGCAGGGCTGTGTGACTGATCATCTAAGTCATGGTGCAGGTGCTTGGGTTGGCCAGCAGGACAGGGGTGGGTGGTGAGTCTTGCCTTCAAGTAGAGGCTGAGGGAGGTGGCATGTCACCAAACAGATTCTCAGGGTGGGGGGAACCCTGAAGCATCAAGTGACTCCCCTGGAGCTTCCTGTTCAGCTCACATCACCCACATTATTACCCCCATTTCATAGATGGGGAAACTGATGCAAAGGTTTCTCAGGGACACACAGTAACCACATCACATTTAACACAGTCAACATAAGATAGTAGCAATTACAGGAGTAAGTCCACCACTGCCATCGAGTCAAGTGGAACTGCCCCCAAGGATGTCCAAGGCTGTCAGTCTTCAAGGAAGCAAAGCCCAAACCACACCCACTGCTGTGGAGTCGATTCCGACTCACAGCGCCCCTAGAGGACAGAGTGGAACTGGCCCCCAGGGTCTCCAAGGCTGTCAATCTTTATGAAAGGAGCTCTGGTAGCCCAGTGCCTAAGGCATTTGACTGTTAACCAGAAGGGTGGTGGTTCAAACCCACCAGCCACTCTGCAGAAGCAAGACTGGACAATCTGGGGGGGACCAGGTTTTCTGGTCCAATAGAGCCTGGTGGAACCACTGAGACTATGGCCCCAGTGAGACTATCTGCCCTTCAGATCTGGAATTGAACCCACACCTGTGGTTTCCAGCCAAACAAAAGACAGGCATATGAGTTGAACATTTACCTCAAGTAGATACACTCCTTGGAGAGAACAATCATGGGAGAAAGAAGGGCTGCTTATGCACAGGGAGACAGCTCAGGGGGCAGGAGTGCATGGAGGGATGGACACAGGGAAGAGGTAACTATGGGGAGGAAGTGGGAGGGGAGCTGTTGCATTGTGGTAAACTGTGGTCAATGTCATGAGACAAAGTATATGTGAACTACTGTATGGAAAGTGAATTTGCTCTGTAAACCTTCACCCAAATCACTATATATATATATATATATATATATATATATATATATATATGTATATGTATATATGTATATGTATATATATATGTATATATATGTATATATATGTATATATATGTATATGTATGTATGTATGTATGTATATATGTATATATAAAGACTGGGCAATCTACTTCCATAAAGATTTACCACCTCAGAAACCCAACGGGGGTTGCTATGAGTTGGAATCAACTCAGTGGCAGTGGGAAATCTTTACGGAAGTAGACTGCCTCATTTTTCTCCTGTGGAGTAGCTGGTGGGTTTGGACCACTGACCTTTCAGTTAGCAGCTGATGCTAACTCTGCTTAGGCACTTAACTGATGCTTTAGGCATTGTGCCCCCCAGAGTTTCTAATTATGTGTAATTCTGTTTAATAACAGTTATCTAAGAATTCCTATTGTGACTAATCATGATGGCACAGCTGCTTTGTAACGGCTGACCTCCAGCTCCCCTGATCCTGCAGAGCAGCTCTGGAACCTGAAGTGTGCTTGGTCCTCCCCCACGAGAACCAAGAATTGCTGCTCCGTGGACTCGCACGTGTCACTGATGATGGCCGCCTTCTTGGTGGACACGACTGAGGTGCACATGGGGCCGTGGGACTGTACCACACAGGGAGAAGGGTGGGCCCCTCAGCCTGGTATCTACAAAATGTCCACCAGAGGGCACCACCAGACAGCAAATGTCCACACTGGTTCAGAGTGGGCTCCACAGTCTGGTGGCCCACAGACACTTATCAGATACCCACTATGTGGCAGTGAGGCCTCAAAGGGGCAGACAGACAGGAATACAAGACCCTAAGTACAGAATCACACATTGCGGTCAGTGCTACGAAGCTACGAAAGAAAAGAGCCGCAAGGAGAGGGACCTGGGGGGCCCTGGAGGGAATGCGGTGTCAGGAGGGGCCCTGGTGGGGGCGGAGGCAGCACCAAGAGCAAGGGCCTGATGCACGCAAACTGTGGGCGTGTCTTCAACGTCAAGTCCCAGTAGGCTCAGCTCTGGTCAGACAGTGCTGGGGCCAGGGCCGCTTGCTTTGGAGGATGCCGAGGGCCACCCAGCTGGGAGGCCTAGAGACTCATCAAAACAAGGTTTCATAAGGGCAGGCAAAGGACACGCGTGCGTTGTTCAGGCCGTGCTCCCCAGGCGCAGGACCAAAGCAGGCATCCTTTGTCACTCCCCTCGTGGGCGGG